TTAGATCAATATGTAAGTTGGCATGATTCTTTCCTACATTCGAATAAATCATTTTTATAAGCTTGCGTCAAATACAGTTCTTTAAACCCTTTTTTTTTTTTTTGGTGGAATCTCTAAAAGCAAAGAATTTATTTTGCTCACCTTTTAAAAGAATTCTTGCACTTTTTCAAGATGCTGTTGTTTATTTTTGTTTAATTGCAGCACGAAACAATGAGGTATATAGCCTTTTAAGAACTTCTACAACCACTTTTGATGCACCTTTATCTATTCAGCGAGATAAGAAATGCAGCACCTTACGTTTAACACTGTGAAGTTTGACAAGCATTGAAACAAAAAAGGAAGTGTAAATTTTACTAATCAAAACATCTGTACCGTGCAGCCATTTACATTTTCCTATCAAGACATGAGAGAAATGTTAATTTTAGACGACTCTTTTTATGACCTATAATTACTGTCATTAAGAAAGCTCTGGAGACTTACAGGGAGCTTTGACTGAAATACAGTTTGACATGTTCTATAATTAATGCTGAATTAACGTGCTACATGAAGTGCCTCAGAAAAAAAAAAGGTTTCTTTTTCTCAAAGAGAAGTCAAAGAAATTGTATTACAGGAATGCCAGCCAGTGCAGCGGTATTTCAGCTTATATTTTTGGGCCTATGGAAAACTGACTTCTCGAGTACTTTAAAATTATTGTTAAAACTTTCCCTAGTTTCAGGTTGAGTAGGCTATGTATACATAGGCATAGATATTTGTTTCCAAGTTCTTTCATGTTCTTGATGAAAAGTTAATTAATGCTTGAAAGTAGTTAGTTGCTTTTGACATTCTAAGATCACTTTGGGAATACTGAAAATACCAATAGAAGATTTGATCATAAAATGCACACGGAATGCCTCTAGTGTAGTCTTCCTGATATGTTCCTTTAAAGGAGGTTACTGTAGGGGTGCCTGGGTGGCTCAGTCGGTCAAGCATCTGACTTCAGCTCAAGTCATGATCTTACGGTCCATGGGTTCAAGCCTCAAGTCGGGCTCTGTGCTGACAGTTGGGAGCCTGGAGCCTGTTTCAGATTCTGTGTCTCCCTCTCTCTCTGCCCCTCCCCTGCTCACACTGTCTCTCTCTCTCTCAAAAATAAATAAACATTAAACAAATTTTAAAAAATAAAGGAGTTTACTGTAAACCTTCACTTGACTATAAGATGCACGAGGGCAGGTTATTTTCTCTTGAAATTGTTTACCAAATTCCTTGTACCTAGAATTATGCAAGATACATACAGGGTTCTCAATAAATATTTGACGAATGAATTAAGAAATAGGTAATATATTAATATTTCAATATTTCCAAAGATCTCCTTTATACTACTATATTAATCAATTTTTTAAAAAATGCATGACAATGAGACATAACATCTTTTTAGCAATAGATTTCTAGTATGTAGGCTTTTGTGTATGTGTGATTAAAAAAAAAAAAAGACCAGCACTGTTTAGGATAATTATTTTTTTTTTTAATTTTTTTTCAACGTTTATTTATTTTTGGGACAGAGAGAGACAGAGCATGAACGGGGGAGGGGCAGAGAGGGAGGGAGACACAGAATCGGAAACAGGCTCCAGGCTCTGAGCCATCAGCCCAGAGCCCGACGCAGGGCTTGAACTCACGGACCGCGAGATCGTGACCTGGCTGAAGTCGGACGCTTAACCGACTGCGCCACCCAGGCGCCCCATGTTTAGGATAATTATTTAAACAAAAAACTGCTCAAATGAATTAAGTAGGAAAATCTCATTTTTCTGGGGGAGCACATTTTATATTAGTTCTAATAATTTTATATCAGTCATATTCAAAAGTCTTTGAATACATTTCCAGAGTATCTTAAGTTTCAGTGCTAATATTTGTGAGTAAAAATATATGAAATATTCTGCAAAGGCAAAACTAAACATTATTTTCTTATAATTTTAATTATACTGCTATTAAATTTTTTATTTAATGTTTCTTATTAATTAGAAAAAAGATTTGTTTTTAAATTTAAATGTTAGTTAGCTAACATGCAGTGCAATATTGGTTTCAGGAGTAGAATTTAGTGATTCATCACTTACATACAACACCCAGTGCTTATCACAACCTTAATACCCATCATCCATGTAGCCCATTCCCCATGCCTGCCCTCCATCAACCATCAGTTTGTTCTCTATTGTTAAGAATCTCCTGGGGTTTGTTTCCCTCTCTCCTCTTTCCCCAACTTCCCATATGTTCATCTGTTTTGTTTCTTAAATTTCTCATATGAGTGAAACCATATGGTATTTGTCTTTCTCTGAATGACTTATTTCACTTAGCGTAATACATTCTAGCTCCACCTACGTTGTTGCACTTGGCGAGATTTCATTCTTTTTGCTGACTGAGCAATATTCCATTGTATATCTATACCACGTCTTCTTTATCCATTCATCAGTCAATGGATATTTGGGCTCTCTCTGTAGTTTGGCTATTGCTGCTAATGCTGCTATAAACATTCAAATCTGTATTCTTGTGGCCTTTGAGTAAATACCCAGTAGTGCAATTGCTGGATTGTAGAGTAGTTTTAGTTTTAGTTTTCTGAGGAACTTCCACACTGTTGTCAGAGTGGCTGCACCTGTTTGCGTTCCCACCAACAGTGGAAGAGGGTTCCTCTTTCTCCACATCTTCGCCAAGATCTGTTGTTTCTTGTGTTGTTTGTTTTAGTCATTCTGACAGGTGTGAGTGGTATCTCATCATAGTTTTGATTTGTATTTCCCTGCTGATGGGTGATTTGTTAGGCATCTCAGATTATTGCATTGCTCAGAGTGTTACAACCTATTGTGGCACCTGAAAGGATTCCTCCTTGTGATAGGAGCAAGCCTGGACTTTACACTAATCTGCTTAACAACATCACTGTGAATTAAAACAAAACAAAATAAAAACCATAAAACACACAAATCCTCAACAGCCCCAGTAAAAGCAAGAGAGTCTGGCATATTTTAAACTACAAATCCTAAAATAAACTGCTACAGGAATCTCTTCTTTAACTTCATGATATTCCAGTGTGAACAAATTTTTGTTTTTGCTGACATTGGTTTAGAAAAAAAATGACCTAATAAACATGTGTAATTATATTGGACAGAGAACTATTATTCTCAACTTTGAAAGCAGGCCTTCATAGGAGTTTCTAAAACAACGAGATTAAAATTGTATAAATGCATAAAAAAACCCCAAAAATATCACGAGTAGGAAAAATTTAAAAAGGAAACGAAGATTTAAGAAGTATAAGTAATCAAAATTAAGGATCATGTCACAGTGCTTTCAGATTTAAAGTTTGCTTATCATTGCATACGAAAGTAGTTTAACTCTTTGAAAAAGGGTTTTTATAAAAGTTTAAATTGTTACGATTATTATTATGATTGCTATTGTAATCATGCTCTATATTATTTATAGCTAAAGAATATCTGATTGTTCAAGAAGTGGAATATTAGTTGGGATTTATTAGCTTTATTTGAAATGCCTTAATTTTTTTTTCCTTCTCTCATCTTTTGTGGGAAATTGATCTCATCATTTTTGCTTTTGGCCCATCCAGAGGAGAGAGGAGGAAAAAGTTTATTCCAATCAGAAAAACTGCAATGAACTGAAGTTAAACCTAGTACACATTTTATTTTTGTAGGCAGGTTTTGCTATTCACTGTTTGGGAAATAAGGAAATAAAAAAATTAGAACAGTGGATTTTTTTCCTCTCCTGAGCCTCTTTATATTTCACAAACAAATCCCACTCAATTGTGAGCTTCTGGAGGAGAGGCGACATACACTATTCCTTTCAGAATTCTAACTATGGTATTGGCTTTGATAGAGACACATCCCGACTTTCAGATGAATCCTGATACACAGACAGCCTCTCTGGGAAGCTGGGGTCCTTTATGTAGAAAGTGGGGGTACAGCTGGTTTTTGGAGCACTTTGATGCCTTATTTGAAGTCAGTAAACAGTATATACAAAGAGTAGTTATAGAAAATATAGAAATGCATACTATATTTTCTAAAAGGTGAATGTTGTATGAATGTGTGTGCATGTGAGTGTGCATGTGTGTGACTGAAACAAACTAAATAAATGCTGGTTAGACCCATGGCTTATAGGCTGTGTTCAAATAAAGAGTTCCTATGGTATTGCTGTTAACTCTTTAGTAAAAGTCCTAAAATGGTTTTAAGTTCCAGCTTAGAGCCTCAATTCAGTAATTGGAATGCATCTAGCCCAGTATATTATTCAACATTTTACTAAATCAAACTGAATACTTATTCTCCTCTCTAAACCACAATAAGCTCTATAACTGGAAGTGTTTTTCTGGAAGAAGTGAGATATTCACCGTCTACTCTCCTTATTCACTTCCTCTGGTTCTCACTGTAGAGTTGAAATGGGAGGAGGCAGAGGAGGTTGGGGATGGAACAGAAGTTTTTATTTTTGGGTGGCTTCTCACTCCCTGAGCCTGGGGTTGGTTGAAGTGACATTTTTTTTTTTCTTTATGAGGGGCTTTGGGGAAATTCAGAGTCCATCTTCAGTAACTGCAACACTCTTTCCTCTAACCCAGTTTTACTCCTGGTTTACCGTGCAATCTCTTTGTGGACCAAGTTTTTTCCATGGTAGGATACAAGGGCAGGGCAAAGACCTGTTACTGTCACCAATGCTCTCCTGCTATTTTCTTAGGGATGACTCAGACATCAGTCTACTCTCCCTGGTCTCACCTAGGTTTAGAGGTGCATATCAGATGCTTTCCACAGTCCTGTGGGTACCGCCTCATAAGGCATAAGGTAAGGTTGTAGTACCCCTCAGCCCTCTCTCTTTTGGAAAGGGGAATAGCATTGTTCATTACACTTCCAAGGTGTGGCTTTACAACTCTCTCTCAACCATAACCTTTCTTTATTTTCTTCATCTGGCCAATGGGTGTGGAGTTGCAAAACTCATAATTGTCCCCATAGTAAATTCTGCATTTCAAACCTTTTATATTTTTTTCTCCACAGATCTTCCATTTTACCATCTGTTACAACTTCATTGCAAAAGGTGTGAAAGAAGAGGGAAATGAAATTGGTAAATATTTTGAAGCCAGACTGAAATATTTGGCCAAGTTTCTAGAACAGTGGAACTATTTTAATCAAAGGAAATCTTACTTATGTGGCCAAAAAAGAAAATAACACGAATTGTACTCTTTGAAGTAGAGTTAGTTGATAAGCTTGGAAGGTGGATCTCCCTCCCTCTCTCTGCAATTCCCTGCTTTGGAAAGCACTGCCCTCTCCAGAAACCATTGGATCTGAAGAGTATGTATTGGAAAACCTCCCCTGAATACCACATGACGAACAACCAGAAGGTTTACACTACGGAAGACTGGAAAATCAGATCTGTGCGGGGAGACAATGAAGACTATGAAAACAATTAGAAAATAAGAAAATGTCTGCAAAAAAAAAAAAGTCATAAGGAAAGAAATTGAAAAAGATTTGAAAGCACGGTATTTCGTTTCTGTTAGTTTGTTAGCCAAGCAAAATTACACACATGACACAGGCTTCTTTCAACTTGATGTGCCGAATGGCCGTGGTTATGTCATTAAACAATGCAATAAAAGGGAAAGAAACATCATGTTTTGCAGATGAAGAAGAAAAATATTTGTTGGCTGGAGACGCTTGCAGAGTGTCTCCGGCAGAGATGCGCCATTGACGTTTGAAAACATGAGCACTCTGACTTGCTTTCTATAATGAAAAATTTACTTACATAACTTTATGCTTTTTGATCACTGTTCCAATAAGGAATTGTGTCCTTGGAGGCATCTAATAATCAAAGAATTACCTCATTCACACGATAGAACAATCACTGGAAAATATAATGGCTAATTGGGATTCTTGAAATTAAACGTGGTGGTGGTATTACTTGTGAAAGGAGACTAAATGGTTCATGATTTTAATTTTAATCCTAAAGAATGACTTTCTAATAGTCATAAATGCCTTTCTTTCAAAGAGGTGATAGATTTCCTGAAAATGTTCAGTCTTAATAAGGATGCCTATTTGGCATGCATGCTTGTCAAGGCATTCAAGTATCTGTGAAGTGGTTGACCCCCAATTTGTAAGTTATTTTGCAGTTTTCCATATCTGTCAGTCTATGACCCCCCTTGACTTTTAAGCTGAAATGTCGATATATCAGAAAAACGGTAACTATCCGGTTGCTAACTTTCTGTGGTCTCAACTTGAACTTTTCCCCACTGTCTCAGCTTACCCATGCACCACCCACCACAGGACAAGTATGCAAGTAAATAGCCTACAAAGGAGATGTAATTTTCTAGTGCTGCATTTCATTTGTCTTCAGGTGACATTGCAGTTCACCTCATGGTCTAAGCTACCAACACGAGACTTATCTCTATTTCCCTCCAACCATCTGACCTACCACATTTCCTGAAGATCTCCAGTGTCCACCCTTACCTATCGCTTGTGATTGACTTCCTTTTTCAGATAAAATTTAAGATCCTCAGCATGGAAAACAAAGTTGTTTGTAACCTGATCCTGGTTAATTGGTAGAGCATCATCTTTCACCACTTTTCCTATGACATGTTATTTTCTAGCAAAAAGAACTTTCAGTTCCACAGACACACACACTGAGAACAAACATATCTGTGTCTTAAAGGCCTCGGTTCTTTTTCTATATAGAAAATATTTATTCTACTTTCAACACTTGATCATATCTTAACCATTTTTCTCTAATGACCTTTTTATCCCAGTTCAATACCTAATAAATCATTACATTGTCACAAATACATAGTAAGTATCTGTTGACCTTCAAATAATGCTACCTCTGAAGCATCATTGTAGAAACAAAATATGATGTACATGTGTAATTTTGAATTTTCTAGGACTTATGTTAATAAAAGGCAAAAAAAGGAGGAGGTGAACCTAATTTTAATGACATATTTTATTAATATTAAATCTTATTTCAAAATATAATCAATATAAAATTATAAATGAGACCTTTAAAAATTTTAATATGGTCTTTAAAATCTGGTGTGTATTTTACATTTACAGCACATCTCGATTTGTTCTAGCTAAATTTAAGTACTCAATAGCCTTAATTAAGTACTCAATAACATGTGGCTAGTGGCTTTTATATCCACAAAGCAGCAACAGTAATTGGTCAACCTTGGTTCACCGGTCAAATCCAGTCCAATATCTGTGTGACTTGGGAGCAAAGATAGATTCTCACATTTTTAAATTGTTGAAAAAGATGAGAAAAAGAATATTTATTGACACCTGAAAATGATATGAAATTCAAATTTCAGACTCCTTAATAAAGATTTATTAGAGCATAGCCATGCTCATTTACTTATAGATTTTCTGTGGCAAATTTCATGCTAAAAATGACAGAGTCAATTACTTTTGAGTGGCTGTATGACCCCAAAAGCTTAAAATATTTACCATCTGGACCTTTACAGAAAAAGTTTGCTGACTTCTGCTTTACAGGGTTCACTCTGCTAGGACCACGATCACATGCTAGTTGTCTTTGTTTGCACTCAACACAGGGCTGACACAGAAAAGAGACTTAATAATTTCAGAATAAAATGTATTTTATAAATCCAATGAAATGAACATTTATTGAACAACTACAGTCCTAAAACACATCCTCTCTACCTATAAATCATACCTTAAAATTTTTCCAGTTCAAAATATGATACCACCAGAACAGAGAAATGATAAAGCAGTCAAAAGCAGAATTCTCAATTCAGATCTGAGTCCAAGCTCCAGTTTTGCCCCATCTATAATCTGGAGTAATTTATTTACCTTCTGTAATCCTTTCATTCAGTATCTGTAAAATAGGGAAAATAATGCTGACCTCACAGGTTTGCAACAATTAAGTGGATGATGCATATAATAACAGTATAGTGACTGAACATGCTAAGTTTTCAATAAATGTTAGTTATTTTTGTACATATATCTGAAGTGTCCTATTCTAATTGACTCCTTTCAATAGCCTTTAGTCACTGCTTTTGAAGAAAGTGATACCTTAATTAATTTGTTTTTCAAAACTGTAAGTATTCATTTAGGAAAGTCTCACCACAACTATAAAAATATTTTGGACACTAAAACATATCGTTAGACTATTGGAGCTAGATGAGTCCTTTAAATGTATATACACACATACTCTGTTTAAATGGAAATGAAGAATATCTTCAAAGGGAAAAGGGGGATTTCTGTATAAAGAACATGAAAGAAATATTACTTAGAAAGCTTTAACCATTTTAGAATCAGAAACACACATGTTTTAGCAATATACTATATAGCTTTACCCTAGACCCGTAAAACATTGAAGTCACAGTGTACAAATTAATAAGTGATGGTAAATTGTTAGAAAATATCATTCTATTTAATATTTTAAAATTCTTCAAATCACATAGCTCCATTTATTTCCCTTGTTGAAATGTTCACGTAGCTGAAAATAACTCTTTGGACAGTTATGTTTAATTTAGGTTTTATGGCTCCTTGGAGTGAAGAGAGGAAGAGAGCTGTAATTTTCTGGACGTAGAGAATCGTTTGCTATGGTAAACTGGATAAATGCTTGGGTTGCCTCATGGGAGTAGCATACAGAAGAGTAGCTGGTTCTATTCTGCTGAGATGCCAGGGTCTCCCTATTCTTTCCAAATCAGTGGCCTTAGAGGGATCATGAATTGCTGAGGTAGAACAATCCTTACTGCTCTTTATCTCTCATCTACTGCCTTTGAAATCAACTGGAGCCGCATACTTGGAAGCAGCACAAAGGGTAAGGCTGGAAATAAAAATATGGCCTAGGATTTGTGATGCTCAAGTGACTCTGATCCATTTCTCCAATAGCGGTAGGACTGAACTAAGCGAGACTTATCACTGACACATCGCAGTTCATAGTGTTCTAATTCATTTTACAGAAGTAATCCTATTCCAGCTCTACCATGACTCTTTTCAATAGAACGTGTGCTTTGGTTTCATTTGAAATAATTCTTCATTAAGTTCATAATACCCGGTGTTATCAAATTATGCAGATACAGAAAGTGCCAGGCCTTCTTTGTGAGCAAAATTAAAATGGTTAAAAACACCTATGATATGTAATGCTCACGTGTCACGTAAAATACACTCCCAACATGCCAAAATTTTCTCTTCCTTCATTTAAGCAGTTTCTGGAATTCTACACCTGTCTTTCTGACTAAATAAATATGGGGATAAACAAAACCATTTGCTTCCTTATTCTGCATACAACAAAATACACTTATTCTTTCTTATGTGTAGGATTGATATTTTAAAGCTAATGCTCTGCTTAGCACCTGTTCAATTTTATGGATGCCCTGTACATCTAAGGTACTGTAAACCTTATAGAAATCATGCCCTGTGTCTACCTAATTGGCTTAATATCAGTATATATTATTTTGTTTTGTATTTAGAGGCTCTTCATCATCAATTATGAGGATTTTGATTTTACTCTTTCACCTAAAATAAAAAATAAAAAAGGAAACTAAAATGTGTTGCATGCATTGGAACCATACATAAGGGAGTGAGAGAATAATTATCACTGTATAATATTTTACAATGGAACGTTTCAGATTGTTACTGAAATTAAAGTGTTGATTTTACTTTTTTCTTTTTAATTTGTAACACTATGTTCCACTTTTATAAATTTACTTTATGCATCAAAAATAGATGGAATTGTTTGAAATATTTATTACCATGAATTGGTCACAAACAACACTATGAAATAATTATATTGCCCTTAGCTTCCTTGGATTTAGTGATTTTTCTCCTACAAAAAAAAAAAACAAACCAATATTCACATGGTTTTAAATGAGAGAAACCAGCCATTTACTGAAGAGAGAAATAAGATAAAGGGTCCAAAATTAAACTTCATGTTACTGACAAACACATAATTGGTATTATATTTTTGTCAATAATTTTAGTTAAAAAATATTCTGTAGTTTATTTTAAAACTGTTACTGTGTAAATAATATTTTATTTAAGTGTATAATTATACATCAGTTTCAATTCAAAATAACATAATCTTTTGGATTCTTTAGAGTCTAGTTACACACTGAGTAAGCAGTCTCTTGTTTTAAGTCAAACTTCTATCACTAATCATGGAGGAACAAAGATGTGTCCAAATTTTGAAGGAACATGGGTGTCCCAAAGCTCAGATAATGAATTTTAGCTCTCTCTGGAGAAAAGCCTTTCCTGTATGTAGCCTGGCAATATTCCAAGATTTCTTTTTAAAAGTAACTCCATATGTGTACTGAAAATAAGCTAGTGATGTTTTAAATCAACTGGAAAGAGAGGCTGTTCTTTTCAATATTTTTTTCCTGAGCATAACTTTGAAGTGCAGCATTTGGGGATTATGAAGGTTTGGGTTACCTGCTGAATGAAGGCATGGAAAATTATTTGAAAGTACCCTTTTTTTGAAAGTGTACTTTAAACTTATGAAATATCACCTGTGGTTAAGAGAAGGTATGCAATTCAAAGCATTTTTTTTTAACCTAAAGACAAAGAGTTAATTTTAAATTGTGATTATATTTTCCAAGTTTTCTATGGCTACAAGATCATAATCAAAAGTTTGTGGTTCACTTCTTTTTAAAGGCAAGGGATGATGGGGACGAGTAAGTGCTATTGACTTAAAGAAAATATCGGTACATTTATAATGAGTTGGGTACTGTGCGCAAAACTGAACCAAAGACTACAGCTTACTATGCTCTAATGATTGTCTCACAGCAGGTATTTTAAGTGATTTCATTTCCAAATAAATTCAACTTGCATCTATTTCTTGGTAATGTGTTCTGAATTTACTTGATGCATCCAATACTACTTCAAAATATTCAACTAACAATATTCCCCAGCAAGGGAGAAGTACTGTTTGGCCAAATTTGCATCATGTAAATATGAAGGAAAATGTATGTGAATAAGCATTCTTTTTCAGAATGCAAAGTAACTGTACTAAAATGTCTTGTTTACATCATGAAAGATATCCTTTGCCTAATCTATCGCAGACACACTTGATATAGCTGGATACTGTCTAATAGCATTGTAAACAGACATGAATAGTTACATAGTTAAATATTTACTTTAGTACACAAAACACTTCACTCTATCCAAATAGGAGAATGCTTCCATCTTCTTTTAGTAACAATACAAGATGATAAAAAAGTAACAAAACATACTTACTAAAGTAAATGGCAATTGTGTTAAAAAATCACGCTGGCGAGAGATTGTAAGGAAATCACTATGGAAACTCATTTCCAAAGTAAGTCAACATTTTTATAGGTAAATTATTCTTCTTTTATGTATTTTAAGTGCAATTTGGTAAGTTTATAACTTATAGTAAGACAGTAACATTCACTGGAACATATGTTACATGAAATAAAGGAATATTTATTGAGTGTGCCTATCATGTGGCAGGCATTGCGCTAAGGGCTGAGAAGCCAGTAAGATATATTGCATGCTAGCTATTGATAAGTGTTAAGGAGAAAAAGAAAATAGTGCAGAGAAGGGGAATACAATATTTTGGTTGTGTGGGAGGTTGTTGAAATTTTAGATATAGGGGCTAAAAAGCATCTCTGAAGTGGTTTTTGAGTAAGGAGCTCAGTTGAGTGTTCCAGCCTAAGGCACATGCATGGGATTCTTCTGGTGAAGAGAGTACCGTAGCTGTAGCCGCATGAACAAAGGTGGAGGAATTTGTAGCAGAAGAGGTCTGAGAGGGAACAGAGACCAGATCAAGTAAGACCATGAACACCACCCAAAGACTTTGGATTTTAATTAGGATGAACGAGAGGATTTTGACCAGATGAATGACCAAATGTGAATTCTGTTTTGGCAGACCACTATTATTCTGAAAATGGACACTAACCAGGCACGGACGGAGGCAGCAAGACAAGTTAGGACTCCACTGCAA